TAAACCCCTAAACCCTAAACCCGTCTAAGAAGCTTTACACCCGTAAAGAAACCTGACCTCCGCCACTCTAAACCCCAAGCCCTAAACACAAAAAACAACCTTTTAGGCCTTCAACCCTGAAACTTGAGAACCCCGAACCCCAACCCCTAAACCCTAAACCCTAAACCCGAACCCCAACCGAGGTACGCCCGCATGCACGATGCCATCACGGATCAGCTTCCTCAGATCACCCTCAACGGCTCACCCAGCCAGAGGCTCGAGGGTTTCAGTGTTTAGGAGGGGTTTAGGCTTTGGGGCGTAGGTGTTGGGTTCTATAAGGGAGATGTGATTGCGTACCTATACATATATATATACACACACATATGTACACACATATATATATATATATATTATATTATATATATATATATATATACATTTTTAATGCTTAAATAACTACGGACATATGGGTTTTAGGGTTCAGGGCTTCGGGTTTAGAGCCAGAGGTTGCGCCTGGGTGCAGGGTTTTAAACTTGTAGCCAACAAACCTGCCTTTCTTTGTTTGTTGAGCTCTATATATATATATATATATATATATACAGCCCACCAAAAAAACAAGCCCAACACCTCAAACCCTGAAACCTAAAAATCCCAAAAACCTAACCCCCCCTCCCCCCCCCCAAAAACAAAAAACAAAGCCCTTAGACATACCCTATAAACACCCTAAAACCCTACAAGACTCGAAGCCCTTCAGCCCGATGCTGAATCACCCCCAGGGGCTCCTCACCCAACGCCACCTGAAGAAACTACTATACAAGCCTAACAGTAGTGGTTCAGGGTTTAGGGTTTAGGGTTTAGGTTAGGGTTTAGGGTTTAGGGTTTAGGGTAGTTACCAATATTATATCCTAGGGTTCCTTATTGTAGTTATACTTTTCCCTGAGGTTCATTCTTATAATTATGTTATTCCTTAGGTTCCTTACTATAGGTATACGACAAGGGAGCCCGAAACCTTGTTCTAATTTGTAAGGCCCCTACATTATTCCGAAAATCCGGTTTAGGGCACCCTAAACCCTAAACCCTAAACCCTCCGGCTCTGAAGCCCGTCAAGAAAGGAATATGCTTAAACTCAGGGTTCCTAAACACTAAGCCCCTACACCCCAAACCCTGAACCCTAAACCCTCTAAACCCTAAAGCCCAAACCCTAAACCCTAAACCCCAAACCCTAAACCCCAAACCCGAAAAATCCTACTAAACCCTGAAAGCCCCAGTCCTAAGCCCTGAACCCTAAACCCTAAACCCCAAACCCTAAACCCCAAACCCTAAACCCGAAGCCCTAAACCCTAAGCCCTAAACCGAGAGGTATCCGGGCAACGTCAACCTTTCCTTTGCCTGCGTGGAGGGAGAGAGCCTCCTGATGTGGCTTGACTTTGGGTTTAGGGTTTAGGGTTTAGGGTTTAGGGTTTAGGGTTTAGGGAGTAGGGTTCAGCAGCTCCGGATCGAG